GGTGAATTCAAACCCAGCATCGTGCCAACGCTGAGCCCCTCACCCACAGCACATAGTCTGATCACTGCAGGCCACAATGACCCTCAGGCCATCGGCAAATGAAAAGAGTGCTCCTGATAACCAGCACGACCCTGCAAACAGCAGTTTGTTTATCTGACCCTTTTCTATTTCAAGAAGTTCGGTCAGAGTTGGAGGTCATTCTCCGTGTAGCAGCAGCAGACAGCTGGTACTATTAAAAAATGAAACACCATGCTTCTATATTAATAAATAAGGAAACACTGAGTCTGTGTTGTAGAATAAAGGTGCTCACACCAAATATTCACTTGTAAACTGTTTCTGCCTCATATCCTGCATTTCTATATATGCTTGCACACGTTTCAATAAATCACTGCACATATGTCTCATTTTCTAACAAAATGTAACTGTTAGTACTTTTCTTTTGTTTGTTTTACATATAATTTAATATCTTTTTATCTATTTACTTTTAATTATAATTCTGAACAGTAGGATCCACAGTGTAGAGCAGCTCAGCAGTATTGTGGCGAACACATGCAAATCTCCAGGTTCGAGACTGGGAGGAGAGAGCAATCCTTGGCGAGGGTTGAGTCGTGGAGGCCATCTGCTGTAAATCAAACATGCGGATCCATCTGCTCGAGCAGCCGTCTGAGAAAAAGGGAGCAGGCAAGCAAAGCATACTCGTAGATGTGGTTGTTGTTCAGGTAATAAAGTAGAAATGACACATAGATTTGTGTGAAATTTTCATACACACTACCGAGATTTAGGCCCAGCGTTACATGTGAACATACGGGCAGATGCTTCGCTCTCCTGCAGTCTGTGCTGCAGGATGCAGGTCAGCTTGACTGACGGGCTGAGTGAGCGACTGTGACTGTGTGTGTGTGTGTGTGTGTGTGTGCGCCTCTGCAGGCTCCTTTCTATCCATCTCTAACCAGCAAGCAAACCAGTCACATTCATGTGTGTTTGGGACATAAATATCAGTCCAATCATGTAGCAGCACAGGTGTTAAAGGACTAGCTGACACTTTTGCTTCATCATTTCCGTGCAATATTTAAACATTTAAATAATTTGAATAAACTGATGATTAAATCAATCCCAACCAATGCGCACAGATATTAATTTTACATTATTCGGTTAATTTGATCCTGTTGTTGGTCTTATTTTGATGCCTACACCCTATTTTTAATCACACAGGTAGTTTAAATTACCAGTCCAGCAGAAAGGCGGCCAGTTCAGCGTCAGTCTGGAAGCATCTGTCCCTCTTCAGTGCAGCCCACCTGGAGAAAGCAAGCCCGAGATCTACCCTGGTGCTTCCCTGAGGCGTCCTTTCCAGGATTAGTTTTGCGTCTTTGTATTTTCGCTGCTCTGACGGTGAGGTCTGCAGCTCCATCGTTTTTCTTCCTCTTAAAAATGATTCTTCATCCTCAGTTTGTTTTCCAGGCTTCGGCTTTCCAAACAAAGCGATTATCCAGCTCCAGCGGCGGTTCTACAGGGACAACACAACCCCTCCATCAGGAGGGTCCACACGAACACAGAGCCGACCTTTCTTTGATGATCAACCCGATTGGTATTTTGTTCCCCCTAGCAACACCGGAGAACCAGCAGAAGGTTCCTACCTAGTGTCTGCTGGCGAAACGGTTTCCTCAGTGGGATGCATGAGGATGCACATCAAAAAGACGATGGTGAGAGGAATGTTTTCATGGGTCAAGTACAGTTCAGGGGGCCCATTTACCATTTACTGTACAACACATTTGTAGAATAATATTTTATGTATTTGTATGTAGTGGATACAGAATACATTATGTCGTTTCAATATATCGAGTAGTATGACATGGAACTACTTAAGCACACACACAGCACATGTGTTCTAATTGTGGTTTAATATTGTGCGTGATTAAAGGTTATTCGCACTTACAGTTTTTTAAAAGTTTTTTTAATGTAAAAAACAACAACAAGACATTACACAGGGACAAAGCATTTTAACGTCCATATTAAGAACAATAAAAACGCAAATACAGTTATTAACATACAATAAACACACATGGTTATATAACACATGTGGTTATTTGTCTTTTATATACAGTATAACGCACTGTGTGAAATGTGCACAGCGCACAAAAAAATACAAGAACACATTTAAGATGCATAATGTAAAAAAAACAATTATTGTTTTACTTTTGCTGCATCCTTAGCTGTTTAATAAAACGGTTTATCTTAAATCGTAATTTATTTTCACAGTCATTACTTTTAAAAATTTATTTTCTTTATTAAAGAATAAAAACACCCCAAAAGAAGCAGTTTTCTTTCTTCAAAATACAAATTTGAGCATTAAAAACAAAACAATCCGGTGGATACTATTTTTAATCTTAAATACTCAAATCTTCCTCTGAAGATGTGTCCTGTAAAAGGTCTGTGCATGTAACTATACTGAGCATCCATTTAATAAAATTAGATATAATGAAACACTGTTTATAAAGTATGCAGTTCCTCTTCTACCCACTTTTTTTATTTAAACTTGTTTCCAAATGTTGGAATACAACATGTAAATAAAATTAGAATGAGGCCATTTGCAAAGAGTTTAAAGCCTCAAAACTTGAACTAGTTCAAAAACAAAACACATTAAATGTTGATATCAGTAACATTGCTTTTTGAAAATGTTTACATTGTTTCAAAACAGCTGGGGGGAAAGGAGGCATTACCTCTTCTATTGAAAGGTATCATGTGGAGTTTTTGTCAACTCCATACAGCAGCTCCTAACAAACAAACAAAGCCATTAAAGAAGAAGACTGGTGACTACAAAACACAGGTCAAGTATTTAATGTTGTTTTATGACAGAAAATGCATTCAACAACATGACATACACATTTTGAATTTTTGCTTCATAAAGAATTTTAGTTGCTCAACAGTTAAGAATTTAAATGGGTCTAGTTTACATTTCATCATCACAAAAAGAAGACAGACGTAAATGTTTCAAGAAACAAAGAAATGAAACAGATCTATCTAAATGAACATTACAAGGGACAGCAAACTGAGAAATAAACACAAAAAGCAAATACAAGAGAAATATCAACTGGTCACATTTTACGTGTTAATTCATGCCTACTTTTATTTTAGCACTCTTTGTTTTAAAGGCAAATTAAGTTGTTTGTTTTAGTCTTTTATTTATTTTTTGTTGGGAGCTCTGGTCCTCCACAGTCATAATCATACTCTTTGACATTACACATACATGACTGATTACCCAGTTGCTAACAAATACATTCAGTCAGCTGGAGGAATTACACTGCTTTTGCCATTTAAATTACAATGCTCATGAAAAATCTTGAAAATGAAAAAAAAAAACATGTCATCAAAATTTTATAAACTAAAATTTAAAAACATTGAAATACACCACTGAATTAATCTGATATCGAGTTCTGCTCACTAAACTATGTCGTTCAGAGTTTAAAACTGTTCCCAGGTGAACCTGATGCCCAAAATAAGCACTGGTTCAGCAGATACATCCAACATACTGGTACTGGTAAAGCTTTACCTAAGGTGCTGCTGATTTATATCCATAATGAAACAAGTATTGCATTTTTATTAAACTTTATTAAATATCCCACTCACTGTGTTCGGTTTAGCCCAAAACAGCTGCTGCCTTCTGCAGAAATCAAACCTGCGGGTTTTCTGCCAGAAAGGCTTTCTAATATGTCGAGTTTGTGTTTTAATATTCCTTCTTAAATTGTGTCTTCGGTGGTTGACAATGCAGGTAAGCACGAGTGCTGCTGATAAATTAATGCTTCAGTCACACAGGTGTAGAGACCTGTGGGCAGCCCCAAATACTCATGACCTCCAGCAACCACTAAATCAAGTGAAGTTCATATTTTCATTTGCTAGGTGGTTGGCGACTGGTTGTGCAACTGAATCGACTCAGATTGGTTGCTGGTTGTGGACCTCCCCTACCAATTGGCAGGTAACTACTCTTCAGTGATCAGCACCTGGTGGGTGGGAGATCAACCCAGACTGGGTATATGTAGCAGGATCCTCAGAGCAACTCCAGTCCTACTCACCTTGCCGGACAATTCAGATCTCATTATGTCTCTTTACTCTCCATCCTTAATGTAGTGATGGCTGTCCTCAGGCATTGGTAACATGCTGAATTCAGTAGTTCAATAAGAAAACTTGATGGCAGAATTGGAGAGGGTTGTCTTTGTTTAATCCCTGAGAATTAAGTCTGCCATGTATCACGTGCTTCTGCAGATCGTCTGCCTGACAAAGACATCTTCTAACTGCAGCTGTCCTTTTAACCTGGCATCAAAATGGCACCGACCTCCCAGTACCTGGTGACTACCAGCAGCTAACGCACTCTAGTCTTCTGTCTGTGGTTAGTATAGCGCCATTTCTGGTGTTGTTCTGTGGTGCCACTGTAGACACCCTGAAGATGGTGTCACGTCTATGCCAGGCACCCTTGACAGTTGACAGGAGGTGAGTAAGAAGTTTGGCACTTGATGGAGTGCGGAGTACTGACAGTCAATGCTTGACAGTTCACCAGAGAATCCTTAGCTACCAACTTTCGTCAAGCATAAATATAGTGGAAAACAAAAAAGAGATACTTGGCCACAGCTTCTGTTGTCTCTCCACAGAACTTCAACAAATGCCAAATGCCATCAGTTTGATTGTGTCCGCATGTGTCTAAATGTTGTGTTCAGTCCTGGATCATGAGGAAAATGCCAAACACATTATCCCCAAAGCCTGGAGAGACGAGGCAGTCATGCAAGATATTCGTAGCAGGAAGTCATGATGACAAAAGGCAGCGAGTCTACCTGAAGCATGACTATAACACTGCTGGAGCTCTAACCTGGTAGGCTAACTTGTGGCTGTGGAGAGATTTGAATGAATAAGGCAATTATTTTTAGCTTTTTTGGTATCCCTATATCCCAGTGTAATAAATACAAAATACAAGATAGTTCACTCACATGAAAAGAAATTGAAATTTTAATTTCAAATTTAGAATATAAGAATTTAAAGGTCACAATGGTCCATGTATAAAGTACAATATAATGAGAAACATCTGCTTTTTCTATTTTTCAAGTTTACACATAACACCGACAAGAAACTGAGACTCTCCGCCTCAAAGTAAAATTTGCGCCAATTAAAATGTCTTGCAGCTGTAAGGCACAAGTTTTACTACTGTGATACAAGGAATCAAGAAGTAAGTACCAGTGAAACATGATTGTTTATTAACATAAACACTCAACTATGATCAGTAAATAAATTGTGAAATAGTTCACAAATTCAATAAAAAAATTAATTTGCTGGGACAGAGGCTACTGGGGCGGTGCTGGCCGGGACTGGAAATAGGAACTACTGAGCAGAGTGCTGCTCGGGCCTGGAATCGACTCCATGGAGCCCGGAGGGAGGAGGACTGGAACTGCGGACTGCTGCCGCTGCTGACGGGCAGTACGGAAACGAATAAGCATCCCCATAGTCTCCTGCTGAAACATTGACCACTGTTCCTCTGTGAGCATGCCCACCTCGGTGCTCAGGTATTGACAGTACATGACTCGGTTGTTGCTCAACCCCCCAACGGCTGCCTGCAGGGACTCCATAGCTACCTGCAGGGACCTCATAGCCGTCTGCAGTGAGGACATGCTGTTTGGGATTTGAAGAACTGCCTTGTTGACGCAGCGGCTGGCGAGCTTGGCCTTCTTGCCCTTTAACTTTGGGGTTTGACTGGAGGGAACAGGAGACGGAGACCCAGGACGACTTGATGACCTCGCAGGCTCTTCGTCTCCTTCTTCTTCTTCCTCTTCCTCCTCCTCCTCTTCCACTCCGGTATTGGTGGACTGTGCCCCTTGAAGCTTTTTAAACACAAGCAAACAAACATTAACATAAATATCAAATGCATACAAGGCAAGTGCAGACATTTTATAGCACATTTACTTTTGCTTAACTACTTCCCCTGAAACGCCATTAAACAGAGCAGCTACAAGGGAGAAAAAAAACAAACAAACAAAAGGGCATATTACTCTACCTTTCCCAGGCTGCTCCGGCGGATGGTCATGTGCTTGTCCAAGAATTTGAACATATCTGAAGTCCACCGCTGCCTGGCTGTCAGTGGTCGTGTTGCTTGCTCATTCTTCTTCTTCCTTAGTTTACCATAGACGGTCCGCATGTTGCGGAACCACCCCCAGAGGAAGTTCCCTGAGCACAGTCGAAAAAAAAACACAAACATAAATGTCCCGTTTAAAAAAAGATAAAAAACGTTAGAGTGTTTTAAGATACTGAGCATCAACAGAAATTACAGAGACATAGCTCACCGGTAACTCCTAGCTCCTCGGCCTTCTGATCCAGCAGCTGCTCTCGCCTGCGCTTGTCCTTGAAGTCGCGTGCTGTCTGGTCGTAGAAGAACGGGTGAGCTGCAAACCACTCTACGAGGTGGTCTTCCTGTTCGGGCGAGAGAGTCGCCTCTGGCTCCATCCGGATCCTCTTCTTGACCCCGGGCCAATGCGACACCATTGGCTTTTCATCTTCTATCTCCAACTCTGGCTCCCCGGTCACAACTCTGTGGCCAACACGTCCGTGCAGGCTGGCTGACGAGCCCGGCTCCAGCATTGTGTGTGGCATGTTGGCAATGAGTGACAGCGAGGGGTCACTGTTTTCGTCCGAGTCCTTCTGGTATTGAGAGGTTGCAAGAGTGATGTCCGAACTGGAACTGGCAGGCAGGCACTTCTGCCATCTCCCTCTTCCTTTCATGGATCTACGTGCAGTCCTCCTTTCCATTGGCGGGATGCTGAATCTTGACACGTTTTTTTGCATCATGTTTGGTGACTGGCTGTAGACTTGTTGGCGCTGTCGGCACACCTGCATTTACAGTTAGAGGTCAAGTGATTAAAAGCTCTCAAGGTCACCAACCAGTCCCGCCGACCGCTCGGCAAGTAGTTATTGAGTGTCTGCAGAGTGTCTGTGTCCATGCAAACTATGGGTAACAATCTGCTAGCAACCAAAGCAATCGCTATGAGGTTTTTGGTGCAACACAATACACCTCTTTGCCATTAATTTTAGCTTGTGACAGCCAGCAACCACTTGCCAAGCAGTCGGGGATTACACATTTTACCCTAGCGACCAGTGGTTGGCAGGATGATAGTCAACTGGTCTCTAGGCCTGTGTAACAGGGGCATAAGGCAACAAAAAAAACTATATACAGTTTCACATTGTTGGTCATATAATTAATAAAATTATATTCCAAGTTTAAGTACATTAAACCTTATTTAAAACTATATATAGCAGAGTACTGGTGATTTTCTTTTGGTAGAAATCCAAGGCCAAAAACTGTTTGTGTGCAAAATAAATTATATTCCCAAGAAAGTTTGCTTCAACTCAAATCATGTCAAACAAATTCTTTTAAAAGGTAAACACAGAAATAGATACATTTCACAGTGCGATTAAGGCTCACTCTAATTTGTAAAAGTCTTGTCTTTGACCCGCAGGGCTCGCAAAATTGCTAGCCCGACGTCCCGGAGCTAGCGATATCTCAGCCCCGACCGTTGGGCTATTTTGGTGGCCCGACCGGAGATATCGCTAGCTCCGGGACGTCGGGCTAGCGATTTTGTGACCCCTGGACCCATTTAGTCACCAAAGCCTAAAGTGGCTTTCTTGATCATTATGACTTCCAGGAAGCTAACAGAAAGTCCTAAAGGTGATCTTCTCCAACTATCTCTCCTGATGTAAATTAACTGGGGTCTAATTTCTTACCTATAAGTACTGATTTACCAATGATAGATTGTATATTACCCCAAGTACAACTAGTATCACTGTTTTATATTTATGTAGCAATTAATTGTACAAAATAATGGAAATGTGAACAACTGGGGATACATTATTAACATGTCCCCATGTGTCTCAGACTTCCCTGTCACGTAAAAATTTCTGCACTACCAAACTGTTTCTCTTTTACATTAACTTTCACGTCTTTTCAGTTTTTCAGATCATGTAAAGTTCTTCCCACACACTTCACAGCCAAATGGTTTCTCTCCCACATGAAGTTGCATGTGTCTCTTTAGATTGCTTCCTCGGTTGAATCCTTCGCCACAAACACCATAGCCATATGGTTTCTCTCCAGTATGGACTATCTTGTGAATCTTCAAACTTTCGTGATTAGTAAATATCTTACCAAAGACATCACATCTAAACAGTTTTTCTCCTGTGTGAATTTTTATGTGTTTATTGAAAGTAGAAGAATGTCTATATTTCTTTGTACAAATCTTACAACAGAAAGGTTTCTCTCGTGTGTGGATTCTTATTTGAGACTTAAGATGAGTGTTTTGGTTAAATCTTTTGCCACAAACCTCGCAGCTATATGGCTCATAACCCAATGGCCTCTCTGCTGTGTGGACTTTTCTGTGAGCCTTGAAATGCATCTTCTGCTTGAATCTTTTACAACAAACACCACAACTAAATTGTTTCTCTACTGTATGGACACTCTGGTGTCTTTTCAAATCTCGTGAATATGAAAATCTTTTGCTACAAATATCACAACCAAATGGTTTCTTCTCCTGTGTGAACTCTCATGTCTCTGTCAAGACTATACCGCTGTCTTAAAGTTGTTTCACAAACATTACAGCCAAATGGTTTCTCTTCGGTGTGGTCTGTCCTCTGAGACTCTACATTTTTCCTCACTGTATGAGATTTCTTAATTTCCAAGCTGGAGCTGGAGGATAATTATTTTGAATGACATGTCATGTGTTTTTGAAGAGACTGCCTTTGGAGAAACTCTTTATCACACTCTGAGCAGCTAAAGGATTTGTTTAAAATGTTAAATGCCCCCTGACTCTTTATGCCTGACTCAAGTTCCCTGCTCACCTTCCAAACATCATCACTGTGTCTGGTTTTAGGTCCAGAATCTGATACAGGCTCCTTCCAGTCATCATCATCATTACTCACTTCAGTCTCAGAAGAGTCTGAAGCCTTTACATCAGTTTTTGGTTGTAAATAAATATGTGTATCAAGGTTCCCTTCTGATTCTGGTCCTCCACAGTCCTCTTCATCAGGCTCTGTTTTTACCTGTTTAGCTGGGCTGCTGGTCAGAGGCTCCATCTCACTGTTGTCTTCAGTTTGGCTTTGATGAAGCTGCAAAGACTGAGACTTCTCTTTATCATCATCTTCACTCTTTACAGTAACAATAGTGAATGGGAAAGTGGTGACATCAGTCACCTTCAATCCATTATGCTGCTCTCCCTCCTGATTGGTCCAGAGTTCTTCCTGTTCCTCCTTTATCTGCAGAGACTCTCGGTCCTGCTGGTCCAGACCGAGGCTCCATTCAGGGTGATCCTCTTTCATCTCCAGCAGCTGCTGAACTTCTGCAGAAAACAGCCGAACACGTGGAGTTAAATTATTATAAAGGCAATTGTAGCACTGGAGTATTCTAGGAATCTGATAGAAATTAGAAGAAAGAATGAAACTATACTGAGATGAGTGAAAATCTTTAGCAAGCTTGTGTTTCTAGTCTGTTTTCAGCCTCCAATAAAAGAAATGCTTTATCATTGTACTTCCAGTGAGTGTTTTTAAAAGAAATGCTGTCAGGATGAAGGAGTTTGTGAAAGTGAAACAAGTTGGGTTTTTTTCACTTTGCTTCACCAGAGTTTATAAGATAATTCCTGCTTCAAAGCCATCATATAAATAATAATTTAAAGGTGCAGGCCATAAAATTAGATATATATGTTATACTCATAAATATAGAGTATTGAATAATGTGTAATTATGTCTTCCAGCAAAGAATGAATCAATTACAAAACCATTACAAAATTACTTGTTTTAAAGCTCAGTTTTTAAAACCTCACGGTGTAACTACAGCCCAGCAGCTCACAGTTTGCCAGGCATCAAATATTTGATCAGGTTAGAAAAAAATAATTCTGAGGCCAACAAAGATTTGAATGGGTACATGAAGCTGAGGATCAGGATTTTTTAAATTATGAGTAATATAAACCATGCAGCAGTATATTATTGACTAATTCTGAATGGATTATCTCCTGAGTGACGTTTGGTCCAATTAGAGCATCTTTCTCCTGCCATGTGATTGCATTTGTCCCTAAAAATCGTGAACCTTCATCTTAATTTTTATCGATGGGATAAAGATTTGCGTTCATCCTCCAGCTTCACTGTGCGTTTGTATTATGCTAACCATAGCTCTGTAGCTAGCCACCACAACATTATATACCAGCTAGCCCAACTTCAGCAACCCTACAAACGTCACTGGTGTTTCGTTTTCTGTCTTCATTTATGTTGGATAGCAGAGCTGTATGTTTTTAATTTTTTAGAAATTTTTCAGAACTTCAAACTTCATAAATCCTGTTTCTCGTGGATGCCTGGATTTGAAACTTTATTGCAGAGCAGCCACACGGATCATTTTATTAAAGATGAAAGAATTTAGACAGTTTTTATCTCTCAGTGTTTGTTTGGGACCTGAAGAGGAGTTTGTACCCGGAAATGACTAATGACCTCAGACTTAATAGGTGGATAGCTAGGATTATACACTTAACTGGGAGGGGTAAGACAACAGAACACAGCTGACTGCAATCTACTCCGTCCCAGGAAATATATTTAACATACTGATATAAATACATAAAGAATATTAACATATTCCTCACCTGAGCTAACTGCTCAGTTTAGTTTAGTTTTTTCCCCCCCATTATATGTGCGTTTAAAAAACAGATTCAAATGGTCACTAAATCCAATTCAGTCCAATTCATTTTTATTTGCCTCATACATAATCACATAAAGAGGCTCAAAGAGCTTCACAGGCATAAAAACAAACAAACATAAGAAATGAGGTCACTTACATATTAAAACAGAAGTTTAAACAAACAAGCAAAACCATCAAGAACACACAGACGTCACACGTTAGGAAAAATAAACTGCATATAAATTATAACTCAGTCCAATTCAAGAGAAACATGTCCATTTTTTCTTTGTATGACATTGTCATGGTTACATATCCATTAGCGCTATTTGGCATGGACCTGACTTGTAAACTGAAAACTGCAAAAACAAACAAAACAACAACAACTTTTATTTGTGTATTTGCTAATGGTTTTTTCATAACCTTCCCTGTCTTTCTCATTATGTTTGGTGCACCCCTATGATATGCTGCTACCCTCACCTATGGCAACGAGCTGTGGGCAGTGACAGAAGTGAAATAATGACACTGCAGATAAAAGTAGAAGAAGAAACAAGACTCGTCTGAAGGATGTCTCTGCTCTCTGTGTAAGTGTGCAATCCTGACATGCACCTCCTGGGGAATGTAACTACATGTCAGGTCAAAGTTGCCAACTAATGTGGTTGTTCTGTTCAGCACTGTTGATTAGTGAGAGAATAACAATCGCTGTCTTGATAGGAATAATAATTACAGCATCAATATAACGACTCACAAATACCAGCAGATTCCTGGAAGGAGAATGCTGAAACTACAAAAAATGGGGGAAAACTGGAGGGAAAAACATGTTTTTCTGACAAAGGTGAGGACCCAGTATTTTATTTATTTCTGTTGGCTGGCACTACATATGAAACACCGGGACAAACCGCAACTAACCCATAATGCACCAGCACAAGTGTAAATGCCAGCAAAAATGTCAGCCACTTATGTAGGTTACGTCACCAGCTCCCCACAGAAATCCAAATCAGCCCTTAGAGACTGCGTGGGCTTCTGTGCTTAGACTGCTGCACCTTAAAAGTGGAGCTAATTTGATGCCCTGCTCCACAGACACACAAAGGCACACAGTAAGAAGTGGTGTGTAAATGTGTGAATGTGGCTTGTAAAGCAAGTAAAAAGTAATTTGAGTGTTCAGTCAGAAGAAAACACTGCTATGGTTACAGTTCTGGTCAGAAGTTTCCATCCACTCATCAAGGGCATGAACACCATGGTGATTCTGGCCTTTTAATGAGTGATGCTGTAATGTATGTCTTAAGTTGTCAGGATCAAAGCCTGTTCAGATTCAGAGTCATCTTTATTTGGCAGAGTTTGTGCATACAGATGAGGAATCTGACTCTGGTTCCCTTTGCTCTCTGTATACAAAAAGAAACCATTTTAAATAAGCAACATATTCACAAGGAGAACATAAATATGAGGATACAAGTAACAGAAAGTCTTAAAAAACTGTGCAAACTATAACAAACGTCTGTATACTGGTGAGTGCAACCTTGATGAACCTTAGATATTAATTTTAAAAGTGCAAATTGTGTAGTACAATGTGCACATGGCCTGAACAGTGGGTTATTTCAGTGTCCATCCAGCCTGGAGGAAGAAGCCATTGCTGTGATGACTGCTTTTGTAAACAGTGCTCTGTAGAAGCTGACCTAAGGCTGCAGCTTAAACCAGGATGTTTAAGGATCTGCAGAGATCCATCCATTCGCTTCCGCTTATCCTTTTCAGGGTCGCGGGCGGCGCTGGAGCCTATCCCAACTGTCATAGGGCGAGAGGCGGGGTACACCCTGGACAGGTCGCCAGTCTGTCGCAGGGCCAACACACAGGGACAGACAACCATTCGCACTCACATTCACTCGCACAAGTACAAATTATTCAGACGTGTCACCACTTTGGTCTTGAAGAACTGTCAGACTCAGAAAGGAGGACTATGGTTAGGATGTTCAGGAACAGCCCAGGAAACATCGAGGCTCATACCTGCCATGAACTGGAAACTACTGTAACACCAGCACAACTGTCCACAGTGAAGCCAGGGTTACAGGGTACCGACCAACAAAGAAGCCTCTGCTCCAAAATCAAAACCTTCAAGCTCAACTGAAATGTGCAGCTGCCCACGTGGACGGGCCAAATGCCTTCTCGAGAAAACTTTTGTGGTCAGACGACACAAAGATTGAGCTGTTTGGTCACAAATACAAGAGTCGAGCTGAAGAATTCAAACCTAAGAAGACTGACTGTCAAACATGCTGTGGCCCATTTCCTGCCAGTGGTACTGGTATATAACACAACGTGAATGGAATAATTAAGAAGGAAAACTACCTCCAAATCCCTCAACTTCACATCAGATCAACAGCTTGATGGTTCAAGCTTGGACATGGTTGGATGTTTCCGCAGGAGAACGATCCCAAACACATCACTGGTTTTGAAATGGATAAAGCAGGCTACCATTAAACATCTGGATTTACGTGGCTCTGACCTCAACCCTATTTGAGCACTATACTTAAGAGCTGATCTGTGCCAAGGAAAGAACCAATTTAAAAGCAAAAATTATGCCAGGAAGAGTGGTCAAATATTCAGTCAGAATTATGCCAGAAGCTTGTTGATGGATACAAAAACAACAAAAAACTGAAGTGCAGTTTGTTAAGGGACATTTAACCAACCGAAAGTTTAGATTTTATGTTTATATTTGAATCTGTATGTATATTTTTGACCCTGTGTGGATGAAGAGGAAAAAAAAAAACACGCATTAAAAATACAATCATTCCACGCTGCAAAAAGATCAGATAAACTCCATATGACAGTGACATTCGTGACCATGATGAGTGGATGTAAACCTGTGACCACAGCTGTAGATGCAGAATCAGCCCTCCACCCTGAAGCAGATCGGAAACTGGGAAAGATTGGATCGCTGCACTCCTCCTCGTAACCAACCTTAACTCACACCGGTGTTACTTGTGTCCTACGAGCTGTTCCAGGATAATGTGAACTGATTTAATGAAGTGAAAAGAAAAAAACCCCAAAAAAACCACACACGGCCATCCCTGTCTGGTGTGTTAGCAGCTAGCCCGTTTCCTCCACATTAAATCTGTCGTTATTCTCACCGGAGGTTTGGCTGCCCTCGTCTTTCTGCTGCTGATGGACTCCGAGCGGGTTAATCTGCTGCATCTCTTCGAAGGACAGACTCTCGGCGCTGTGCTGCTGCAGATAATCCGCCCCATTCATGGTGTCCGCAGATATTTTCTGCTTCACAATAAACTGCAGGCTCCTTCGGAGTCAGCACAAAAGATCACAGTCGCACACTTACACGTCACTGCTGCTCGGGTCCCGCGTCTACAGATGACATCATGCGTTATAACTGGAGACGTGTAAACATGAATCCGATATGTTATTATTATTATTGTAATTTTAAATAAGTAATATAATAGAGTTCTAAACAGGATAACTTTTCTATTCCAGATTAATTTCACAATTAATCTTAGTTTAAAAGTATTAATATATCTGCACAAAAATACTTTACTGTTCCTTTAGGTGACATCTCTAAGATGAATGGGCGTGAACTAATAAAGATAATGATGTAAGAGGCAATCATGCTAGGCGAAGGAGCATTACTGATGATGTGTGTCACAGTGGTTTTTGTTTCAGTAATTAGAATATTGGTCTTGGTTGTGATCAGAGTCCCTGGGTGCGTCTTGAGGGTCACTGTGGTGCTGGTGTTCTGTTCTTGGTCTCAGCGGTCTGTAGCGTTTGCCAGAAAACATGTTTGGCCGTGCTGAGGCAGATGAAGGTACCAAGGAATTTGAAGGTTGGCACCACTGATGCAGAGGGGGCCAGGTCTGCACCGCTGCTCCTTTGTTTTCCAATCTCAAAATCTCTGTAGGCAGAGTCAGTCGTTGTATCACAGGCAAATGTGATGATGGGATGTCCAGGATGATAGTGCTGTATAGTCAGTAAAAAGCATCCTCTCAGAGCTCCTCTGGTGTTCTGTGGCATCCTCAGTGGACCACTTTGCTCTGGTAAGACTGCTGTGTGTTGAAGGTGGGAGCGAGACAGCCTGTGCTGATCTGGATAATGGTGAGACTCAAAGTTGGGGACATGGCTGGTCTGACAGTGTTATGCTATAGCTGCCTGTGACAGGACACATCTGTCTGCTATTCATCACCTCACTGAAATGTGGTGCTGGTCCCTTCTGGAGCATTTTAATGGAATTATCAGACAAATAATAACCACAAAAGAAGCTCATTAATCTGTTTTGGTGACTGAAATTCATAGTATTTTATTAGTCTGTTGCTAATAAACCACCAGGTAACTGTGTCTGTGCATTAACACCACCGCTGGCTGCTAATTCAACACACCACTTAAATATGATAACTTCTCCAAGAACCCTAATTCAGTGGCAGCCAAATCAGTAATATTTAGGCTTCAAAATGCAGAGTCCAAAAACAGCGAGTGACATCATGGGTACGACTTCCATCTTTTAGATACAGTCAGGATTCAGTGCTACCTGCTGTTTGGTGACGCTGTGAAAGAAACCAACTCAGGTGCATAGCTAAAAAAAAAAAAAGAGAATAATTGAACTCCTGAGTTTATAAACTTTGTTGCAAGTGTGTGATCTTTTGCTATGAAATAAACTGATGTGCAAAAGTCTTGAGCCAACCCTCATTTCTTTATATTGTGCTTCCAAGGAGACACATGTCCTTTAAAGTTTGGAGAATTATTCCAGAAAGAAACAACAGAAAGCTGCCTCAGAGTTCAGACTGTAAAAGAATAAATCTGGTGACACAAACATTTCTAGCTAATTATACTTGTATAAACTCTTTTTGCCTCGTATACAATATTTCCACATGTTTGCGAAATATGAAGAAATGAGGAGCTGCTCGACACGTGCACAGTTCTCCGCACTGTCTGCCTTTGGTGCATCGCTCTAAAAATCTCCACAATCCACCAAACTGTCTCTGGCTGGATGGTCTGTTACAAATAAACCAAAAACAAACAAAAGGCCAAGAAATATTATACAGTAACATTTAATCATGAAAAGGTCGAGTAGAGACCATAGAGGGACGAGTGTCCATTCAAACAAAGGGGCGCGATAGGAGGAGAATACGGCACACAGCTAAACCACAGTCTTTTAAAAAATAAAGTCAGTGCACAAATAATCTTACAAAGATTGCATAATATAAAGAAAGGTTATAAAATTTCCCAGAAATAGTGCAATTTTACCACCACCAGGAAAATAAAATAAAACCTGCGCCAATGTCGATGCCAGTCGTCTAAACGCTCCGCCGGAGAGCATTTTGGTTTTCGTCACGCGAAACGTTTTGAACTAAATGCTCTGCGGTCTGGAGGCAGGGCTCGGAGTGAAAAGAGAGCAGATGTTTCTGGATGGCTACATGTTACTGAGACACAACACACACATGCAAACAAACTCTTCATTGCACTTGGGAAAATGAATATAAAATGAGTTTCTATACAATAGTGTATATGGGACAGTCCAGAGAGGCCCACCTGTCGATACTCAGCACACACATTTAACTTAAAGCAGAGCCAGTGTTTCTACTCAGTCTGCGGACTAAAGGCTACATGTGTGCACAAACATACCCACAGGGCTTCAGTTTTCACATTTAATAAGGACATAATAGCAGAAATCCCACTCATTTCCTCCACCAAAGGTATATTTCAATGTTTCTTGTATGTAATACATCTTTACAAACACAGCTCTGACACTGAGCTCCTACTCACCTCCAGTAAAAAGCGCCTTACAGATGAATGGCAGCTACTGCATAAACACATAAATGTAACTTATCCCTGACACCTCAAAAACAGTCACACACACGACCGGGCTCAGGAAAGGAAATAGAAGAAATGCTGGAAGAAATGTTGCTGGCTGTTTTCTGAAAATTAGAAGAAATCCAAGAAAAGGTAATAACTCTGTGCTACAGAGTCGGACCACACCAACACGCCAGCAACACACAAACACCCCCACACATCCTCTGTGAGCTCAGATAATCCAACTGTGAGGACTGAGTTTGTGATGTTGCTGCACAACACTTCTGTTCCAGATATCTGATCCACCCCTGTGCCGGCACATCATTCTGCAACACTCTCAAATTAAATAAAAATACATGTACTCATGATCTGCAGAAAAATCTCCCTCCTGGCTGCATTTATGATCACTAAAGAAATAAAACAAACATCGTAAAAAGTGTCTTAAATTCCCTTTAAGCCAAAATCCTCACACCTGAATGTCATGAAAGAATTACAATTTGTCGGTTTGCTGATGGGTAGTGCACCAACAATGTTACTCCCTAGTACAAATCTACTAGATCAGAGGTGTCAAACATAATGTGAAGATTAAAAGAAGCTTTACAGCTTGGACTGCGTTTTTTGCTTAAGAAAGTAGAGTCTGACTCGTCCAGTTCCTCTGAGCCAGAGGTCACTTTACCGCCTTATTCCTAAAGCTAGTTCTGCCCCTCCAAACTAAACTGTGCCTATAAAGTAAGGAGGGTTTTTCCTAAATATAAAACAATTTGGCACCACTTTCCCTAAAAAAAAAGAACATATTTTAAATCCCTCCCCTCTTTTCATGAAATGACTGAAATAACAAGGAAAGAGAGATTTGTTAAGTAAGGTAGCATAGACTTCTTATTGCCTTTAGTGTATGTGGAGTAATTGTGCTTACATGCATCGTCACCACCTAAAAATCCCATTCTGATCCAGGAGGAATTCTGGGAAAATGTGCATTTTTTCCCCACTGTGCAAAAAAAAAGAAAAAGTAAAATTCTGGGAATTAACTAAAAGTTTCTGTTTTCATTACAGATCAAAGTCCAGGCAATGATCAGCTGGTACTTTCTTATTTTACAGACTGATTTCTTTAAGAGTTTAAAACTTCTTCATACCAAATAAAAAGGCAAAAATCTGCTTTCTTTACACGTTTGTAAGGAACAGCATCAAGAAAAACTGGACCCAGAATCTAAAATGAGTTTGACACCCCTGTGCTAGAATACACGCACAAACACTATAAACAGCACAATATACACACATCAAATAAGCTAGACAGAGTTAACAAAACACAGCTGCATGATCCAAAGTGGCACCAACGTGAAACACGAGTGACGTCAGGAGCTCCACGGAGCGGTCACTGAGTTACGAACCCTCCTCTCACCGGAGGCCAAGCGTACATTCAACACCTGTTACGAAAAGAACGCCTAAACGAGCCCCGCCTGGATCCAACGTCTAGCGCCACCTCGGAGGTCGTTCGTGTCTCTAGTGCCATGAGATGAGGGCGGAGTGCTACATGTACTGGTGTGCATATTCTACACTATATTCCTGCATCCTGCTGCCAGGCGACGCTCATCGCTCGCCCCAAAGAATCCAGCTACCACTTCTGAAAATAACCAGCCTCCTCTTTGTGAGCGTGCATGCTGAAACACTATGGAGAACCAAGGTCGGGGCGTTAAGATGAGGATGCTGCTGTAAGATGAGGGGAAGGGACTTTTTTCTTCAGCCTCAGAAGAATAAAAAGCAAACACGGTGTTAGTTTATTTTTTTGTTGGTTTTTTTAAAGGTTTAAAGAGCTGTACCATGTCTCTTTAGGCATGTTAGTAGATAGGCGTTCACTTCACAGGCTCACATCAACGACAGAGCGATTTCTGCACGTGCTACCAACACTAATAAACCAAAGATACTCGTCAGTGCCAATACGTGAGGAGGTGTGGTTCAGAGATGTGCTGCTTTGGTACCATTACGATTATGGACGGTAGTAAACAAAAAAAACAAAAAAAAAAAAACCCCACACCCAAAGAGACGAGAAAACACATTTACAGTAACACTCCTGCTCAGGAGGACGGACGGAAAGGATCACAAAGCTTATATATATATATAATTTTTTTTTTGTCATTTAACGGACTCCCTGTGAAGATAAAAAACATTAGAAAGAGGAGTAAGTGTGGCATCAGCGTGCTGAGAAAGACTGCAGGCCCCTCGGTCAGTGCGAATCAGAAAGCACTGATGGACGACAGCAACACACACATGCGCTCCCACAGGAAGAGGCCACAACAGCCCAAACACACAGTCAATCCCAGTGTATGCAAGGCCCGCCCCCTCCACCCACACAGGTCTGACGATCATTTTAAAGGCGGTGGGCGTGCAGTTTGTGGGGTAGTGCTGGCGTGAGCCCTCAGGCGCTGAAGCCTGGCAGTTTCGGGTTTCTGGTCAGTTACCGGGCAGCTCCCTCTCGGGTGGAGTTCAGAGCTGGTGCACGATGCTGTCTGTGTGGTTGACCGAGACGGAGCCGTCCTGGCGCAGCCGCTGCCACTGGAAAGTTGTGCTGAGGGAGCCCACCTCGTCCTCCTCGTTCTCCTGCTCCTTGGCAAACTCCATAAACACCTGCAGGACAAAAGGAAACAAGGAAAGCTTGGAGTGAAGAATCCAGAGGTCCAGTGGAAGTGCAAACTGACCGCCTGACCTGTAAGCCTACCTGCTCTAAGGTGGACTGGGAGAAGTTGTACTCTTCAAAGTTGAAGGTTTGCTTGGCTGAAGACACAAGGAAAGAAGATTAAGTACACGGGAGAGAGAGCAGAGCTGTGGAGGAGAAACGACGGGTCAGCACTCACTCACCGCTCTCCAACTGGGAGAAAGACTTGGCCAGCGATTGGACGTCCTCCATGGGGATCTTGTAAACCATCAGCGTAGCAAAGCTGGAAAAACAGCACACATACATACAGAATTAAACCGGGACACACAGAGCAGTAGCACGCGTCTGTGTTTCCACAGCTCTATTTTGCATAATCAGAATCAGAAACTTTATTGTCATTGTCACGAGAACAACGAAATGAAGAATGGTCCCCGATCATTGCATCATCCCTAGCAATATCAAAATATAAATAAAACAATAAACATCAATAAATAAAATAGATAGAATACTTAAACTACTAATAAGATGTAACAGTAAAACATTCATTCCTCCTCTCTTTTTTCGCTCTTAGTTGACTTTTAGTTTTGACTCTGAATTTAATCAGTGGTATAATAAGCTACAAAAATACATATAAAAGCTCATTTTTATTTAAGCTTTTTATTTACTTCTACCCCAAAAACAACCTCGAACAAGTCCCACACGTTGAGCACAGGATATCTACTCCCAACTGTTATTTTAAGGGAAAAGTTAATTTTATTTTACTTTACGAAGCGTTTAACTTCTTAAAGCTCGACTTCCACGGTTCATTCTAACGTTTGACACAGTTTTTGTGAACAGCTGAAACTGGGTCGTTCCATTAATCATATTTTAATCACAAGCACGATTCTGTCTTTCAGTCAGGACAAAATTCTTACTCTGGATTTGATTTTTGCTTTCTCAGTTTTATAAGGTTCACTGCTTTCCTTTACAGTGTGCTGTTGGCACTCATTAAGTGTCCATCACTGTGTAGCTGAAGTGGAAGAAAGATCAACTGAAGCCATCTACAGGAAGAAAACACTGAAGGTTTCACAGCTGGACTAGCTGCTGTGGAGTTATGTGACCGCATTCCCATCTGGTGCTCTCTTCACCGCCATCGGCGCTCGCTGGCTTTATGATCAAAAATAGGAGGATATACATTTTGGACTATCTTTTAAAGAATTTTACAGCTTGTCCTACTGATAAACACCTTTCCCACTTGCATTCATACTGCACCAAAGTCCAACCAGTCAAGTAATGAAGAGTTAAATGACTGAAAAGTTGCAGCTTTTTTCTTCTCTGGAGATATTTATGCTTTTCTATTGTGGCCACACAGATGTCTTTCATTAACTACAGCAGCATTTCTTTATCATGCAGAAACACTGAGACACACTTGAAACTGCACAAGGATTAAATGTGACAGAAAAAAGGATTTTTACCAATCCAACTCACTTAAGATCAAAATGGGCTGTAAAACGAGTCTGACATCCCTGAACTGCACACAGACAGGTCAGGGCTCACCTCTCCTGCCGAGCGGCGTGAGGGAATATTCGTAGGATCTCCTTATGCAACAGCGCCACCTGCTGGAGCCCCGTCAGCTCTTCTCTAAGTTTCACCTCCAAACTGTAACCGCGGCCATATTTTCCTTTTAAATGTTGGATGGAACCGATACATCTGCAGGAAAGAGACCAAGCATTAAGAGGCATTATGCCGAGACTCGGAAGTTTGAGAAATTATCGAGAAAGCAACTGTGGAGCGAACCTCAGCTGCCCAGAAACCATGATGGCGACGCGGTCGCACACAGCCTCGGCTTCCTCCATGTAGTGAGTGGTCAGGATGGCTCCGCGCTGACGGTTCTTAAAAGCGGCTCGCATGGCCCTCCTACACGAAGGAAACGCGAACGATTTACGTACTTTTGCTTTTTTAACGGTAGCATTGCTTGTGAAATTAAACACATTATTTGGCAGTGAAAGAAAAGAAACATTTATTTGAGAGAACTTCAGCGCTTCACATTTGAAACAAGAAAAAGGCAGAAAAATGCTTCTGTAAGGAAAACATCGTCTCACCACATGCGCTGTTTGGACTTTGGATCCATCCCTGAGGAAGGCTCATCCAGTAAGACGATCTGAGGATTCCCGATCATGCTCAAGGCAAAGCACAACTGCAGACATACAACACAATAATATCATACAAATACTGTAAAACTATAACAGAAAAGATTCGAAGTACCTCATGTGTTTCATGACAGAACATACATTTAAGGCTTTTACATTTGAAGTGAGACGTTTAAACGTCACTGCCGCGAAAAATAAAATGAAACTTAAAAAGCTAAAATATTCGGACTCGTTAGGAGTAAAACGTCGATTTTGCTGTTAACGCCAACAGGTTTCTGATAAATGCTTTATTATCAGGCAGGATAAACACAGCATTAACATTATAATCGAGCAGACTAATAGGCAAGCCGAGGGTCTCCTCACCTTCCGCTTGAGTCCTGCAGACAGAGTCTTGGCTTGTTTGTGTAAGTGGTCCTTCAGCTCCAGAGCATTCACCACACTGACAGCAACGGCAGACACACAACAGCCGTTATTAGCTTTACACTCTCTCTCTCGAAAAGATTTAAAGATCTACATCATCTTTGACTGTCTGACTGTTAAAAATAGAAATCACTGTGGTCCAACGTCAGGGGGAAAGCGGTACTGAGGATGAGACCGAGACTTTACCGTTTGATGATCCCCGGCACGTCCTCTCCTTTCAGGCCTTTAATGGCGGCGTAGATCTCCAGATGCTCCTGCAGAGTGACCCGAGGCCACAGAGGGTTCACCTGTGGACAGTAGCCCACGTGCTCCAGAGGATTGTCCACTGAGCGAAACTCAGTGCTGTAGTCTCCCAGCAGCACCTGGACCAAGACCAGCAAAGATTCAGAGTGTTTTCTTGGTTTAAACACATGAGTAACATGACTGAAATTATTAAATAAACAGACCGAGGAATGCTTCAGTATCATCCTACTGTACCTGGCCTGCAGTGGGGTCAGTGTCACCTGCCAACATGTGCATGATGGTGCTCTTTCCTGCTCCGTTGGGGCCCAACAGTCCAAGAACTTCACCTGAGGAAACAGCAGGGTAGGATTCAGACTGTGGGTGAAGTCGGCCGGTTGGGAACCACGCAGCATAAGAAAAAGCAGCAAGACTAAGCGTACCTTTACGGACACAGAAAGAGACGTTCTTTGTGGCCAGCTTCCTCTTCTTGCTTAGAGAAAATCCTTCTCTCCTGCCCTTGTACTGCTTCTTCAGGTTACTCACAACCACGACCGGTTTCTAAACAGACACAGAAAAGACAGAAAAAGGAGCAAAATGCCTTCAGATCACCGACGAGAAACAAAACACTAAAGAGGCCTGGCTAAATTCATCTTTATTACACCTTGACTCTTCAACAGGGACCAGGGACTTCAACAGCATTCTTAATTTATGTATTGTAAACATTTACCTCTTCACAGGACTGACAGCTGAGGGCCTCTTTGACTCTGGCCCTTTCCATCTGGACATCTTCGTCTTCATTCTGGCCTTCTTCTAGGTTCCTCTCCACCTTGGCCTTGGACTGGGATGAGATCCTGTGAACATTTTAAAAGAAAATTAGGTCTGCTGCATTTAATGTAGGCATCAAAACCTATGTTTTTACTGCAGTAAAACGGTTGCGACCACATTTTGTTCAGGGATCTGGGTAACTCCAAAAGCCTCACAAACTTTTCTACCTTTATCAAAACAATAAACCTCAGTATAAATAAACCAAAGGTTCCTGTAATCAGAGTTATGAAAGCGATCATCACCTGCAGAGCTGATCGTTTTTCATCGTCCTTCCTCCAGAATGGATCTCCAGCCAGCGAAGCAGGAAAAGCAGAACGATGCACTGGAGATAAGGCTGAGCACAGACACACAGTTACAGTTAAATACAGTTCTGACATTTGTTTATCACATTTTCCCCCCACGTTATGAAATATGATACATACAGCTAAAACTGAAATGAGCAGGTTCTTCCACAGGAAGTTCTCCTCGTAGACAGTCGGGAGGAAGGTGGCCTGAGAAATGGAGAAATGCCCTCAAACATGACTCCAATAACGGCCTCAGCCCCAATGATACATGATCGTGTATTTATTTGAAAAACACAGCTGTATGCTTGACAGAGAAAGCAGCTGTTGCCCTGAGCTCCTACCTTGGTGATGCAGTTGAGACAGCCCATGAGAGGGTACAGCGGGTTGAACAAACACAAGAGGTTGTGCAGGGTTCTTGTCAAAGCTGGATTGTTGTTTACGAAGGACAACTGAACCGCCGAGGCTGACACGACGCACACCTGAGGTACAAGCAATTTGTTTTTAATAAAGGTTTCAATCTAAAGCATTTTTGTTGTCATGTGAAGAACAAAGAAAAGAAGAAGAAAAAACAGCAGCAGCAGGCTTGTTCAGGATCACATGTTTGAGTCTCACCATCATGGAGATGACAGAGAAAAAATCCCTGTTGCTTTGGACTCGGGCGAAGCCGAAAGACGACACATAAGTGAAGAGAATCATGGCTGGGCTGAAGCCAACGGTGCAGAGAACCTAAGGCGGGGCAGAAGCCATGAGATGAAGTCACGTATGTGTTGTATTACAGAGGAATAAAGTCTCTAAGCAGCTGGACGCACCACCGCAGAGAGGTTGCTGGAGTTGAGCAGGTTTCCGGTGTGGAAGGAGAAAAGGATGATAGACATGAAGGACAGGATGAGGTAATAGAACGGGATGTCCACCGCTGCCTGACCGCACCAGTACGCTGACGGTACGAGACCAGAGATGCGCAGAGTTGAGCGACACTTTATCTGCAAAGGGGACAAAACCCCCAAAACAAAACACAGAAGTGAGGAGAAATGTGACTGTGTGGCCCGATGTTCTCACTGTACCAGACAACGTTTCTTTTCCCTCTAAATCTTTTGTTGAAAAGATGAATCTGTTTTTATCTCTGTGACTAACTGGTTACCTCTCGGTCTCGAGTGTGGTCCATTGCAAAATATGCCGGCATTCCAGCTGCCAGCATTCCCAGTATGATCGCCTCTATGTACACCAGCGCGTAGGATGTAGCATCAGGGATTTGCTGATGGGCATCACAAAGGGAAAGTTTAGTGTCTTGGAAACGACCTCTGTTATCTGACTCTATATTGGTCAAAGGCACTCACATATTCAAAGGGTTTGGTCCACGTTCGGATCTGCCCGGTCCCATTCAGACCTCTTAGGAGAGCATTGCTCAGTATATTGACAGTCATGGGCAGGGAGTGAACAGTCGTGCTGTTAAATGCAACGCTGTATCTGAAACCCTGCTAACAACACATGAAACAAAGTGTCAACAGCATCATGAACTCAGCACTCCATCTAAACAGAAAGCTCTCAGTTAGAGGAGCCAGCAGCCCTCAAACAAAGAGCACTTTGGCTGCAACACGAGCACCGTGACACATTAAATGTAGGTGGAGGTGCTCCAGTTTCATCTAATCTGATATCAGTAATTAAATTCAATCTATGCAATATTAAAGTGACCTTGCTGGATCTTGTTACGTTGATGGCAGCGCTGTGGGGAGCCGCCGCCATGTAGTCGCTCTGCTTCATCATTTCCACTTTGATGTCCTGAGACTCGATGTTGTGGATGAAATCGGAAATATCAGAGCCTGTAGGTACGAAAAAGGCACGGCTAAAATCATCCATACAACCATTTTCTGCTGCGTCACAGGGGCAGCGGTCCAAGCAGAGATGGGCAGACCTCCTTCGACATAATCTGAGTTTGTTGCCACTCAGCGTGAGCCCAGACACCCCTCAGAGGAAGCTTGATCAGCTTGCAACTATAAAACGGCATCATGTAGAAGCTCATACGTGTCAATAAAAACAATTCAAATCAACATCAATGAGCTCGGTTAAATTACACCCACGGGACATATTGTAATGATTATGGTTAGTGGGATATTTCACACTCGTGCAGAAGTGCGATGCTTCATCACAGTGTTTACATCATGTTGTGCTTTGTGATAGAGCTGAGAGCTCGAGTCTTATTCAGGGAAAAAAACCCACTGAAAGTGAAACAAGCCTTTTAACTCAGTTACACAGAAACCGTCAGGCTGCCGTGTTTGTATCTGTGACACTCACCAGTTGAGTTCTGAACCAGGAGGCTTGTGGCGTATCTCTGGGGCGCCTGGTTCCTCCTGAGGAGGTAAATTGGCAGAAATTGGCGGTCTGAGGAGTGAATCTGGATGTTTCCTGTGGCCAGCGACAAAACCAGGACTGCAGCCACAAACACCAAGAACAAGGCCAGACTGGAAGAGGAGGAAGGGGGAGGTTAGAGTCAGGAAAGTCTCGATAAATGGGAGGAATAAAGCCTCAAAACACATCCCTATTTCTGTGACTGGACAAAGAGGCAGAAAACTATGGATGTCATTCAGTTCTTTAACTCTAAGCTACAGGAGCAGATGGAGCATGTGTGTCCATCATATGACAGATTAACATACAAACAACAAAAACAAACAACATGTATTGTATTAAGGTAATAAAATAAGAAGCCCGGTTTACCCATGATATCTTCAAAATAAAGAAATTGGCTAATAAAGTAAAATAAGGAGAACACTCACGTGTAAATGAAGGCCTTCCTCTCCCGGCGCATGTTGAGCATGTGCAGCCACGCCACGGTGCTGAACTGCTGCCGCCACAGGGCGTGACCCGTCACAACGTCCGACTTTGTGTCGGAGAACGTGAGCAGCCTCTGGTCCGTGTCGTCCAGGGAGGCGGTGTCGCACTCGTCGTCCGCCTGCTCTCGATTAAACACGCTGTAGTCTGAAGACATGAAACGACTTTTACTCAACACCAGAGCTCCTGCAGACTTTTTCCATTCGAAAAACTGAAATCAGCAGCAATCGTCAGTTTGGCGACACACTCACCAGCCTGATCCACTTCAGCCTCTGCCTCCAAACGTAGAAAAACATCTTCCAGCGTTGTCATGGAAACACCATAGTTGACTATTCCCAGTCTGGGTTGAGAGTCGAGCTCCGAGAACAGGCCTACGAAAGATGAATTCAGGACCGCTCAGCGCGCTGCGTGGCTCACAGTCAAAGCTGAATCATGACTGAGTCATACTCTATTTTTAAAATACTGTCTGGATATTTTTAAAGGATATTAAAGAAACCATGAAGGCCAGGAGTAAGTAAACTTTCCCCTTTGAGCGGGAACAACTGCTCCAGTATCACTCTGCTCTGCCCCAGTGCAGATTCAGAGGTTCAAGAAATTGCTTTATTTGCAGTCGATTGCTTTGGAGTTATGATTTTTAAAAACATTTTTATACAATGCACAATGTCAAAGCAAGGCAGGTAAACCAAAAACTGCTGATGGGCACATTTAGGAGTACATGTGTGTGCACAGCTGCATGCGTGTTGCTACAGAAAGCAGGCAGCTATCAGAGAATCAGGTCAGGATAAATGTGCAAAAACGTGACCCGACTGTAAACTAAAAATATAATCAGTACAATTCAATGCTCAAAAAACAGGAAACCTCTGTATGGTCGACTCGTGTCATGATTTTTTTTAAATGTGACCGACGGACGTTCCTGTGAATCGAACCTGGGAACGTGTCCATGCTCTCGAAGGGCAGAGTGAAGGTCAGCTCCGCCTCGTGCTGTCGGGATAACTTGGCTTTGGGAACGTGCTGCTTAACCAAAGACGTGATATTCTCTGCGTCACATGCCTCGCTGATAGACATTCTGCAAAGGATGAAGAAAAACATCTAAATCTAGTTCGATAAAGACGCCCGTGGTTAATACACGTTCTAAACTCAGCAATAACAAAAACAATCGAATTAATTATTCCTTTTGGGTTCTTGTAAGAGTCAATGAAGGGGTCCTTGCCTTAGATGATAGCCCACACCGCACTTGATCTTGAGATACAGAGAGGAGCCAACACACTTCAGCTGACCTTGAGAGATCACAGCTTTGCGATCTGCAGAAACAAACATTCAAAAAAAATAAATCAGACATGTTTTCAACTCGCGTGGAGATAAACCTTTGTTCTCATATGGGTCGAGTATAAAACTGGAGCTGCTGCTCGGTTACATAAAGCTGTGCTGGTGTTTTCTGCTCGCCTCTGCACCTTGAATCTCACTCTTGAAATTCTCCTGCAGCAAGGAAGGCAACTCAGCGCTGACCTCATGATGAATAATATCACCAAGCTGGAGCATATGTCAGCAGCATACTTTAAAATATGCATACACAACAAACCTGAGTGAAAACTGTTCATCCGGTCAAACGGTTTTATTTTAAACATCATCAAGAAAAGACGGAAAATTTTCTGCAGCACCAGCTCCTGATTAAAATATTGATCATTGATCATCCAGGATAAGAATAAAGCACAAATTCTGGTCTATATTTCCAGTCCAAAGTGTGGGTTTGTGTATCTTACACAACAAGGAGCATTCGTACCAGCAAGGATGTCTGCCTCGTCCATGTAGTGCGTGCTGAGCACAGTGACTCTGCCGGCCCGGCGACTCTTCAGCAGAGACCACACCTGGTGCCTGGAGTAGGGGTCCATGCCGGCCGTGGGCTCGTCTAAGAGCAGGATCTGACAGAAACAACCACAAACCCAAGTTGTCCGAGAAGGACTGGTGTCTGGATTCGAAAAATTGAAGTAAGATTGCGCACAGGTACCTTTGGATCTCCTAGGATGGCGATGCCCACAGACAGTTTCCTCTTCTGGCCTCCGCTCAGATTCTTGGCCTGAGCCGTCATGATCTTCTCCAGGTCCAGGTCCTTCAGCACCTTTGTGACCTGTCAGAGAAGGAAACATCACACTAAGGCTCAACAAGCACAGCTTTTTAAACAACCTCAAGAATGTCACATATTCTCCTGCTGGAAGCACTAATGCACATACATGAAAACTATGACACCAACATGCTCTGGAGTTTAGCCACGTTCCACAACTTTCTATGAAATCTAAATCTTAAGGAAAATAGACGCAGACCCCATCCGTGTGTCATTTTTACTTTTTAAACAGTGGATTTAAAGACCTTCTAGAAGCAAGTCTCGCAACTCTGCAGTCATCTTTACAATAAATTTGATGTTCCCATCTAATTTAAAGCATCATCACTTACTGGATATATTAACCGTATGAATAGAATCACCAAAATGTGGCAAATTTGTTCACAAAGAGCACTTTTTCTTATACATACTTCTAACTCATACTTCAACTACATCGGCGCTTCATTAATTAATCTCGGGGTCTTCAGTCTAACCCCCCAGAGCACTGAACAAATGTCAGTCTGATGATTAGCAAAGAACATTTCTAATCTACCTACAGCTTTGCTGTGGAAACCACAGATTAGGATGATAAGAAGACGTTTGCTACCACACACCCTGAAATTATAGGACATGAAACTACTGTGTGTTTGTGCATATGCCAGTGCAGCAACGTGATTGGCTGATAGGTTTCTGTGGGTTATTAGCTCTGTGGTGATAGGTTTCATCAGCTAAAGATGAAAAGAGATTTCTTCTCAAGATTCGCAGCCACTGTTCAAGTTTCTGCTTGCCGTCGAGTTTAAGCACATTTGGTTTATAAGAACTACAAATCACCTTTTAACGTCGATCAACCCTGGTGTCGAAGGTTGTCACCGGTAGGTTTGATGTCATGTTTCAAATGTATGTTTTAACTTTGATAAATGTCAGAATGTTTCAGACTTCGCACTGCGGGAACATTTCGATCGTCACATTTACCTCGGCGTCGATGTCTGCTCGTGGGATCCCTTTGATGGCAGCAAATATCCTCAGGTGCTCCTCCACCGTGAGCACATCAAAGATGATGTTGAACTGAGGGCAGATTCCCACCAGCTGCTTCATTTCGGACGCGTCGGCAATCTCTGCCACAGGCGAGCCGTAGATGGTGGCCGTGCCGTTCGTCGGCGGGCAGATCCCACACAGGATGTTCATGAGGGTGGACTTTCCAGCCCCGCTGTGTCCCAGCAGAGCAGTAATCTGTCCCTCATAGATGTCAAAGGTCAAACCTGAGAAGGAGAGGTAAAGAAACAGGAGGAGATACGGGATGTTATTTCAGTCCATTGTAGGAATGTGGAAAAATATCTAATCTAACCATGTAAATCAGGCTTTCTGCTTATTACTGCGGTTGGATCTTTAGCCCACATTATACAGCACCTTCACATGACTCATGCTGTAACCTTGAACAACATGTATAATCATAGGAAAGCACTCACCCCTCAGAGCCTCCACCACGTTGTCCTTTTCTTTGTACACTTTGCGGATGTTATTGATGCTGTTGGAAACAAAACGAGCGAGCAATGAAGAAACAGTGAAACTGAAAGGAGAGAAGCGTAAACACAGCAGCAGAGTCAGTTGAAGAGCAGCTCTCAGGTTACAGGCTGGACCTCCAGGCTCTCCTCAGCTGATGCTACAGCTGAGCCTAACGCTGATCTACCCGAAGCTCTCAGAGCCTCCATCTCTCAGTCCTCTGAATCCATACTTTTAGTAAAGGTACTCTGTGAGCACTGACATAAGAATAAAATGAAATATTGGTAAGTTCAGGCTTTTACCGGATGGCTTCTTTCCCTCTGAACTCGGGAGAAACCGGCTCGATAGACTCGTCCCCACCAGGAGCGCCGTTCAGCTCAGTGTCGTACACCGAGCTCACCTCAACATAGCGCTTTCTGCATTTGGACCAATAGGACGGCTTCAGGAAGTAAACCAAGGACCTCCGCATTCCAAACTCACCTGCGTATCAGAAAATCATCATGAAAATAAAATGAAAACACAAAACAAAACAAACAGAACTGCTAACCCAATCAGCTTCGACCAGCTGTGGGGCGATTTAATGCTGCAGTCAATTAAAGCAGCACGATCAATGTGGTGTAACGCTAATTGAAGTACAGATGGATCTGCAGAGCAGTGCTGCACACACTCAGTGGGAGAAAAAGGAAACATCTGACAGTTTATTTCCCACTCGCTGCACAGCACACCGCTGGAGGGCTTTTCAAACTTGCTGTGGGATCTCAGCTTGTTCTTTTCCTCAATGCCCAAAAGCTTCTACTGATCTGTGGCGCTATTGGAGAACATCAAGACATGTTGAGGAGGTCATTTTAACCATTTAAATCAGCTGTGTTGGACCAAGGACACGTCCAAAACCTGCAGGACACCGGCCCTCGAGGCCTGGAGTTCCCCAATCCTGAACTAAAGAGAAAATTCAAATGGTTCCTGAAAATCTTACATTTTTGGCTAATTTTACAACCAAAATAATTCCAGGAGGGCCTTATGACACATGGGGGAATAGAGGGTAAACACTCTGTATTTTCAGCTGTTTTGCTACTATGTAAAAGAGAAAAAACACACTTTTACTAAGTAAATAGCTGCTGGATTTGTTCTGGCAAAAACCAGTGTTTGACCGCACTGAGTTCAAATATTTTTGCACTTACCAGGCAGCACCTGGTCCAGGTAGGTAGCCAGCAGAAGATAAAGGATGCAGTCCACAACCAGCATCAGCAACGGCACGTACAAAGGATGAGGCCCGTTAGTCAGAGAAGAAAATACAGCACCGTCTCCCTGTGCCTCCAAGTAAACAACCTAAAATAGATATTAGACAAATACGCACTGAGATCAGCCTCGGTGGCATCTACTGCACAAAGCTTCATCTTTCTGAAAAATGAAGGCTGGAAAACTGCAGAGATTATATTGACATTTCTAGCAAGCTGCAGAAAGAACCTAATATCACTTATGATGCAATTAATAGAAAAATGATCTAAATTAATTAAATTAACAAAAACAGGATCAACACTGAGGTGAGAGAGGACTGCAGCAAGCTGCGATTTAATTTATTCCAGAAGGAGAAAAGTACTCCAGAGGAGACCAGAGCGTGTTTGTACCTGTGCAATGCCGATGGAGAAGGCACTGGGCGACAGCAGGCACAGAAGCCACACCAGCGGCTGTGGGAAATCCTTCACGAGGACGGTGAAGAGTGACAAGCAGCCAAACACCACCGTCAGCATGGATCCCACCGTGCTGGCAAACTTGGGCTTCTTAAACAGCGGAGTCAGCATGAAGGAGAAGAAGATCTGTGGAACAGAGTCAGGATATGGATGAGAGGAACGAACGTTCACTACTAACAACACAAAGGCTGGAATCAAATAGCCACAGCTATATGTTATTTCTTTGCTTTCCCTCCATCCCAGCTCTACTCACTGATGATATTCCATACAGGAATATGAGGAAAAAGATGACAAGGAAGTTGCTGTTAGGAAACAACGCTGTGTACGTCGCGATGATGGCCATCAGGATGGACATGGTGGTCACCAGAGCAGCGTACAGGAGGCCCCATGATAACCTGTCAAACCACACGTACACATGAACGTGAGTTTCTTTGGTCCGAGTGTCCGAATGTGCAGCGGCCGAAGCCGTTTCTCCTCACCAGAAGGCTGTGTCGTAAAGCCCCATCATGGTCATGGTGTCTTTGAGACGATGCTCTTTCTCAGCCGCCACGTTGACGATGAGGAAGGTGACGAAGGGCGTGAAAGCCAGGACCAGGTAGATGGAGATGAGGGCGTGGGGGAACTTCTGAACCTCCACAGAGCCGGGCTGACCCATCATCACCGCCTTCAGTTCCAGCTCGCTCAACACCGAACGTTTTGTCTGCATCTGAGCACAAAAGATGATAAAAGAGTTTAAAACTTTTTTCAGTAACGTAGTCAAAGAAAATCCATGTGTGAAAAATGCAGTTCAAATGTCCGAAATTCAACAAGACAAAACAGAAGACGGGCACAAGCTTGCAGCAAAAAAAAAAAAAAATTAAAGATGTTTCGTGTCTGCTGTAATAAATAACTAAAGTCCCACCATATAACGTATCTGTGGTTAACACACTGTAGCAGCTGAGCTTCAGCCTGTCTCACCTGAATAATGGCTGCGTCGATCAGAGACTGGAGGTGAATGAAGCCGGAGTACCAGTAATTTGCAGCCCTGCAGTTTACCGAGCTCGACAAGCAGCTGGCTGCAGGAGACGAAGCAACGACAGCAATCAAAATGTATTTGTAAAGGACCTTTGTTAAAGGTGATTCAATATAAATCATAACAAATAATATACAATGACCATCAATATAGAGTAGATTAGAAAGATGAAACATCACAGCAATAAAATAACATTTAAACTAGCTTTTCAATAAAATAATACAAGGAAAGATTAAACAAAAGTAAATGATCTAAAAATCTAATACAGTAAAAATAGAATAAATACACTTTAAGTCCAAAAAACTAAAGTAAATGTGTAAGAATCAATATAAGTCCAGGCTAAAAGTTTGAAGATTTCAACACTTCTGTTTTAAATTTGATCATTTCTGTATGAAATATAAAACAACACCACAGCACGTCACACATCAGCTCTAAGAGGGAATCATCTCGTTTACAGTTCTGTTCATCTCTTCCTCCGCTCCATGTGTTCTTCCATATTTTTATATTCCTTTATACCAAAAGAGCTACAAGTCAGGATCCAGAAAGCTGAAAGCTGTTTAAGGTTTAAATCGACTTTTTCTCTCCCTTCAATGTCTGATTAATGGAGAGGAAACGCTCTCAGATGTTCTGGGTGACAGCCAGATCCAGTGTTGATAGTTCCCGCTTATTTTCCCTTCAACATCTTCATAATAACAAATTATTAGTCCATGTTACGTTCCCCTAAGTGTCCAGGTGAAGCAGGGAGATTACCAAAAAGTGGGTTAAAAAAAAAGGAGCTAAAGGAGGCAAAACTAAAGGAAAACCCAGAAGTTGGCCACTAAACAAAATAATAAGTCACCAACGCCCAGGAGTAAGCAGCCTTTAACCCTTAAAAAAACAAAAAAGAAAACTCCAGCAGTAGAAGGGCGGCACCTACAGATGGAGAAAGAGCAAGACGCACTCACCAGGGCAAAAAAGAATAAGTACCAATCACAGCAGAGCATTGCTGCGCCCTGCCAGGGCTACAATGATAACTCATTTAAGGATTTTACCACCAAGATCGTGTGCAATGCCCCCACTGACTGCTGTTTCTTTTAAACCAGCACGAGTACTTTAAACGATTCATTATGGAGGTTTTTTTTACACCAAAGGACTCTTTCAAAGGCAGTTAGCAGCACATCTGAAGATGTTTGCAAGTCTACAACACAAATGAGCTTCTGATCTGTCACTGTGAGGGAAGTGTAGAAACTTTGTACCCATTTAAAATAAAGTTGAGCCAATCCATAAAAATAAAGCGGGAGAAAGTATAATAGTTTCAATAATTAGGCTTTACCAATAGACTCTGTGTAGTCACTGGGTAAAGGCAGCTGGTTGTGCGGGAAACGGAGTTTGTAAGATGTGGCCGAGCTGTCCATGAACACGACGCCAACGTAGCTGGAGGGCTCGTAGAGGCTGGCGTTCTCCAGATCCTCCTCACTGGAGAACATCTCCAGACGATCCTGCATAACTGAAGGAGGGGAAAAAATGCTCGGTTTGCTCTTTTCGAACCCTCTGCACAAACCTAACGGACACAGAACCCCGCAGATGGTTTTCAGACTTACGCATATTCTGAGCCACCTCTTCCATGATGTAAGTGGTGATGTTACTGATTGGTGTGTAGCCGAGGCCTTTGAAGAAGTGGCTGTCACTCTCCAGCTCCGTCGTGCTGATGCCGCCATAGTAAACATGAGGGTTCAGGGTGCTGATGAGTATCAGGAGCCCCAACAGGAGCAGAGGGAGGATCAATTCCTGCACAGACAGGGACACAGAAGGAATGTGAATAGTTTGCTCAGTAAACCCTGATATCCCCCAGGTCAGATCAGGTATAGCATCATCTCTTAAATATGTTTTCTTGTGTATGTCCAAAGCATTACAACCCAAAGTTGGTGAAAATTCATGCTCTGTGGGACAGGAAATGAATTTACAGGTACATTTTAGTGAGAAAAGACATTGATTTCACTGATGACTGCATGCACGCAGCGGCTCTAACTGCAAAACCAAACCGCGAGATTAAAAAAAAAAAATTTATATTCCTATTGATAAACAACCTGTAAGGCTGAACTCAGAGGGGGGCATGTCAAGAGTTTGAGGCTTGTGGTAGACATTACCAGAGAAGAGAGATGATTATGTAGTGTGAAGCATGTTGTGGGTAATTTGGCATCATCTGTGTACAAAACTCAAACTAAATATGGTGTCAACATTTTCTTCTCCCAACTAAAGCTCAAGTTTCCTGTTGAACAACTACACTTCTCACAGAAACACTGCAACAGATTACTAGATTCTAAAAATGTAGAACAAATCCAGTCTTTGGGGTAACGGCGGGTCTGTGAGTGAAATAAACAGGCTGTATTATTCACAGCGGAGCTTAGGGCGGCCCTGACTGCTGTTGAAGATGGAGGCGGTCCCAGAGAGCTCCAAGTCAAAAGAAAAGCTGATACACAGGCACATAAAAAATGCATAGACGCAACTTAAAGCCGAATAAAAAATGCATGGTCTAACAAAGCAGAAATAGAAAGCAGAAAGAAGCAATGGAGCGGCTTCAACTTTTAGCGACTTTTAGCACACAGGCGTAAAAACACGACCTTTTCAACGACTTAGTGACACAAGCCGAGACCAGAACACACCTCGACATCAGGCTGCTAGATTATGGTAAAAATCGCATGTTTCAGAAACTCTGGAAACATTAGTTATTTATTGGATTTATGGTAAATGGTAAATGGCCTGTATTTATATAGCGCTTTACTAGTCCCTAAGGACCCCAAAGCGCTTTACATATCCAGTCACACACACATTCACACACTGGTGATGGCAGCCACATTTAAATAAAATGTTTCTGCACCTGCAGGCTCTGCTGCTTGGTCCTCCATTTGATGAGCAGATTCTTGTAGAGAAGACTTCTCGTTTGGTTCCAGACTCCAGCGTCTCTTCTGTACACGGGCTGCATGCTCCCAGCATTCCTCATATGGATAACGTACGGACGAGAGGTCCTCTCACTAATCCTGGCCTCAGCTGCAAGGGACATAGATGGCAGAGAAGAAATTAAAAGCCCCGGACATTATGCACTCGAGCAGGAGGACTTAAGACAGTGAATCAATACAGCAGGTCTGCAGTTATCCCGCAGACTAACTGATGCTTTATTTCCCTCTAGCATCTTAAAGGCTGCTTTGCTTTGTGATGATGAAAGGATTAATATTAAACTTTCAGCTCGTTCTGACTCCAAACTGCTGCAAAAAATATTAACAAATTCTCAGGGGGAGGATTCATGTATGTGACCTGGAGGCAGTTACTTTAAGGATGTCTGTTCAAACTGCAACATATTCTGATGATTTAGGTTTCCCAAACTTTGTTTACATTTTGGATGTTTTACCATCTAACTCTTGATTTTCTTTACGAATGTAAAATCCAGTGACGTGGTGTTTATGTGTTCGTTACATTACTGGTCTGCACAAATACTGCTGACTGAAGTGCTGCCTATCTGGGTCTTTTACAAAAGATTTCTGACAACAAGAGCATCATGTTGGTGGTTACAAATATATAGTTATAGGAAATTATTTATTTATTTTTTCCCTGACTGATTCATACAATAAACTTTCATTTGAAGGACTTTCCGCTCAGCTTAGAGTTTGCTGCAGTAATATATAGTATTATATATTAGTTAACTAACCGAGACCCAGTATCGGTGTATACAGGTGTACTATGACACCTGTCAGAAGTTTCTAATAAAGCAAATTAAACCCGCTTTCCTTGTTTTCGCCAACAGCGCTCCGATGTTAGCTACAACTGGCGCTAACCTGCTACCTGCTGATATTTCCATATGCTAAAGAAGAAGAAAAAAATCAACAGACATTAGCGTCGCCGCTTCGTCCTCACCCGGACCGTAAAACAGGACAGGTGTAGGCAGCTGAGTGAGCTAGCCTCTTCACAGAATTAACCGCGGCTGATTGAGTGTATTTTTCTAATCTGACGCGCTGAATGGCAACACAGGCACACGGAGCAGCATCGAGCTAACAGGCTACAGCTGCCAGCGTGTGTACGCCGGGCTAAAAACACGTCCGCTCCAGAAAAACAAGCACAGCATACTCACGTATGAAATACATTAAGACATATCCTTCCTCAGCTCGCGATTTAACGGCATTACATTACAGATTTTATTTTGTAAGTATCAGGTAAACACCCCCTTAAACGAGCTGGTTTCTTGCGTCTCTACTTCCTTCTGTCAGATGCAACGCCCCGAAATGTGATGTCGGCCAATCAGATTTGGTCTCGGTGATGCTGACGCAAGTCTGCGCCAATCAGAATGCAGCAGCAGGCATTTATTTTCATTTCACAAACAGAGCATGTCGTTTGATAAATGAAGCGAACAAATATCTCTTGTTTGGGGAAATTTTCACTTTAATTAGAAAAATAATTTTATTAAATCATAGCATTAATGCCAAAGGCTTAGCCATAAAATTTATTACAAATCACTTAAGTACAATACAATTTCTAGAAAGTAACAGGTGAAGTAAGCTACGGATAGATGACAAATTAAAGGAAAAAAAACACCCCGTAATCCTTCACGCCTGCAGTGCGTAGACTCGTACGAGCCATCTAATCGTCCCCGTACAGCTTTTGATGATCTGGTGCCAATAAAACGGAGGAAGAATATGAATGAGTTTGAATAATTACATCTATTTGTATGATATATATTTCTTGGCTGCTTTGTTGTTATTTTAACCACTAGTGAGCTGTTTATTGACACTAGCTGTACTTCCTGCACAAAAAGGGGAGGGATCACTGAAAATCAATACAACATTTGTCTATGTGATTGGCTTTTATCCTAATGTATGCTCTCTTCCAGAGTGAGAATTCCCCTCATCCATAGGGCACAAGGGTCACTGAAGAATATGAAAATGGTGTGAATCACACGTGTGCAGTCTCAACATTTCAATCCAAATGAACGCCTGTGGGAGATGTTTGACCATTAGACGGTCCTCTCCAACATCATCAAAACATATGAGGGAATATCTTTTGGAAGAAGAGTGTCCAGCGCTCCAGTGACTTTCCAGACATTTCAAGAATAAACATAAAGGAGCAGTAGTGCTGTTCTGGTGGTCCAACACCTTAGTAAGAGGCTTTTTGGTTTTTCTATTAATTTGTCCCTCTTCTGTACCTGACATTCTTCTGTTTAAACCTCCAATCCATCCATACTCCAAATAGGAATGTGCATAAAATGATGAACCAGACTTGAATATTTGCATTTAATGGAATAATATGGATTCTTGGGTTTGAACATAAGACACCGATGTGGTCATAGAACATGTCTGTGCTGGTGTGTATTGCGATGTTCCTCGATTCGCTGTAAAATTGGCAACAGTGGCGCGTGTGGGTATGAAGCTTCTGGGATGTCCCTGAATTTAAGGAAATCATGAAGCAGGTTGGGGACAGGAAGCTGTTGGACGACATTGGTCCTCATCAGGATATCTGGTCCCAGCAGTGCTCTGACCTGCAGCCGGCAGATGTGGGAAAGACAGGGGACGGAGTCTGAAAGAAGGTGGAGAGAAAAGATCAATCGCTGCAGTGTTTCCACGTGCAGGTTATTTAAACTCTGCAGTGCATATTTACTGCTGTACCGAAACATGGATGTGGATCCCAGGACTTTTCTGCCACCCTTCGATCCAGAATATGTTTCAAATGGGGAGATAAAGTCGACCAGTTTACAAACTCAAGGAGGTAATTTAACACCTGGCTGTCTGCCTCCTCCAACCTACAAAGGACAGATGACACAAAGGAACAGATAATGATGATGGGTGATCAACCAGCTTTGGATCCTGACTTAAATTTAGCCGATCTCCTGTTTAAAAGAATTTTCTCAGGCATATCCAGACAGCTTTAAATATGGAAGCTTTTTTTTTTAAGATTATTCCCCCGAAGTCCTCTTCTGGTGGGGGAAATGGCCACTGCTGGTGAGTGAAGGTAGGAAAATAAAATGAGCGCAATTAAGATGAGTGAATTTGATTTTGGCAGGCAAAAACAGGCTGATGCAAATGCTACTGTGCTAATCTTAAAGTCACTAAAATTTAATTGGGATCCTCGTTTAACATCACTGACTAATAAAACCTGTTAACTGTGGGGTTTGACCTTATTTTGGCTTCTGAAGTGGGCGAGTCAGAAAGTTAGAGAACTGTTTACTTAGAACATCCTCTGTGATTTCTCCAAACAGCAGCTGTGCATGAGAGGGTGACCCTGAAACTGTGACTGGCCAAATTAAACAAAGTCAAGCTTTTGATTTTTAGAGGCCCAAACAGGGAACAGGGAACAAACCTATTACAGCTTGTTGATAACTAAGGAGACAGAGGTGGAGTGGCGCCTTACATGTGGGGCTGAAGCAGTAAAGATGGTTCCAGTCCTGCCTTCAGGAGAGGAGGAAGCCAGCAGCCAGCAAAATGTACTTGGTTTAGAGCCACACAGAGCATCTCTTTCAGTTCTCTCAGCTTCAGCTCAGTTTTCCCATCATGCTGCAGTACAGATTCATCGCTGGTCACAGCCTCTGGGCGAGGTATCCACCGGTGCTCAAATATCAGCTGCAGCAGGTCTGCTTCGTCAGTGGCCAAAGCATAAATCCAATCTTCCTCATTCAACCTTGCTCCTGCAGCTATCAGCAGTTTCACCGACTCACTGAAAGAGATTTTAATATCAAACTAAAATAAACCATCTGGTTTATCTTGCAAATATGTGCAAGGTGGTAAAATCGGCATTCTTACACACCTGTAAGGTTTCTGGGGTGTGCGATACAAGGCCAGGGAGAGCGGTGAGAGGAGGCCATGGGTGTGCGAGCAGTCCTGGGCGTCTGGGCTGTAACCTTCCCTCAACAGCAATTCCACACTCTTGGTCTGATCGCTGTTAATAGCTACATACACCGGACTCACCATGCTCTCGCCACGGTCGCACGCATGATCCGTAACAGCTATGAGGCTCCTGAGGATGCTGGAGCGACAGAACATCAAAACGTCAAAAATACACAATCAGCCTTATTTTGAAAGAGGTTAAGTTATGTGTCAGTACCCGATGTGACCAAACTGGGCTGCGGCGTGAATGGCAAACTGAGGCCAGTCGTGACTGCAGACCATGTTAGGGTCAGCCCCGTGGTCCAACAGGAAGTCCACACAGGCCTGGTGTCCCTCCTGAGAGGCGATGAACAGAGGTGTACTCAGATCAACTGCCTGCGTGTTCACGTTGGCACCTGAAGTGAAAGCAGGTTAAAAATGAACTGTGTAATCTATTTTACTTAATTACTTCCTAAAGAAGAGGCCAAGAGGACATGGAGCATGAGATCCTTTAACAAGGAGGAAAACAAATGTACAGCTACCATTAAAAGTAAATCATATTTACCGGCGTTAACGAGTATTTCCAGGCACCCCCTCTGTCCGTACTGTGCAGCCACAAATAACGGGGAAATCCTGTAATCATCTACTTCCTCCAGGTTGCATTTGTTAACAAGAATGCGCACGATCTCAGTGTGGCCCTTTGGGAGAAACATGATCTTAAATACAATCAGCAAACACACAAGGACCCCACAGCTAATGCTGGCAGCAGAGAGCAGGAACGTTTAAGCCCTACATTCTTCACAGTGAGCATCACAAGAAATCACTGCATCCCTGCATTCTGCTGAACTTTTATGTGCCAGTTTGCACATTTTCTGCAGGTGTTCAAAGGTAAAAAATGAGTTCATTTATAAGTGAAATGTAATAAAAAGGTTAATACATGCACAAAGTCTCTCTCTCTCTCTCTGTGCCTTGCAGCCAGTCAGAAAACTTAAGGGCAATAAGGGAAAATCCCCAACAGATGTGACCATGCTTTCCTGACCGAAACCAAAAAGTCATGATCTACTGTTAAATGAAAACTGTTCGTTTAAGAGCGTGAGTGCTAATGCTAATGCCTACCTTATATGCAGCTTGGTGCAGGCAGGTCCAGCCGGACTCTGTGTGCATTCTGTTGACCTCAGCACCTTTGCTTACCAGCAGTGCTACAACATCTGTGTGCCCGTGGCTAACAGCTGGAAGCACATTTTGGGACATTCATTTGGTTAGAGGAGCTTAAAGGGTTAGACAAGCAAAAACAGAAAAAAATTAAACATCAGTGAAGCGCAGTTGTAATACCTTCATAAAGAGGACAGGACAAGTCGTTAGTGAGCTGGTTGATGTCAGCGTGTGCTTTGAGGAGCAGTCGGACCACTGACAGGTGTCCACACTGCGCTGCCAGGTAACAGGCAGACTCACCCTCATGCGTCAGATGGTTCACATAAACACGACAACAGCTGGAGGAGCGTGCTGCACACAGGCGGAAACCAAAGAGGAAGAACAAAACGCAAATAAGAGAAACGCACATATAACTTTAAAACAGCTGCTGAAGTGACTGATTTATCCATTAATCATTCACATCCATCTGGAGTCCAGCAGAGAAGTAGAAGGAGTAGAAATGCCCTCAGAGGTGGGAAGTAATGAAGTACAGATACTGTGCTTCTGTACTTTACTTTACTTTGTGTGTGAATGTGTGTGTGAATGGGTGGATGACTGGATATGTAAAGCGCTTTGGGGTCCTTAGGGACTAGTAAAGCGCTATATAAATACAGGCCATTTACTTTGAATTTTACTCTCTTCATTTTAACACAAACATCTCTACTTCTTACATTTTCTAACCAGGCTGATTTTGTTTAGGTTTAACATATGTGAGCTACTATTTCCTGTCTTTGGGTACTTTCCAGACATCGAACTAATCAGACCCCAAGCAGAAGGAACAATATCCATCACCGGTGCTCGCACATGAAGAGATCAGAGAGGAAAAAAATACAGTTTGCATCATTTATTTATTCAGTATACTCTGGGATTCAATCAGGCTTAAATCAGGTTTGGGGAACTCCAGGCCTCGAGGGCCGGTGTCCTGCAGGTTTTAGATATCACGCTGGATCAACACACCTGAATCACATGATTAGTTCATTACCAGGGCTCTGGAGAACTTCAAGACATGTCGAGGAGGTCATTTAGCCATTTAAATCAGCTGTGTTGGATCAAGGACACATCTAAAACTTGCAGGACACCGGCCCTTGAGGCCTGGACTTCCTCACTCCTGGCTTAAATGATATGGAACGGTATTTCTTTGGTGCAGATGCCCATAAGCTGCGGCTTGTGCTACAGAAGAGGAGGAGAGACTAACATTTTCTAATGGACATTTTAAATGCAATGTTTCTAAGAAATATCATCAAAGCCACAAACTGATTCATACACTGGATTCCACCTTTGCACTAGCTTTATGCTGTCAATGGGAACGGCATGTAATGGGAAATATTAGGATTCTGCTCTTTTCAGTGTCAAGCTGACCTGGCTCAATAAAAGGCTCCACAGTATCAGATTCTGCCTGTCAATACAAGTACAAGTACATCTTTTTCACAAAGAAGCATCCATGTAAATCAATAAAACGACAGCTCATGTAACATCAGCTCATATCCTGCTGGATAAATCCATAAAGAGGAGCAGGACGGGCCGGCTGATGACAGGCTGTGCACAAAATCTGTAAAATCCCACTTTAACCCTTCACCATAGTCATCTTACTGTTTGGGTTTCACGACAAAGTCGCACATCTAAAGTGCAGTCAGCAGCAAAGAGAGCTTTTTAAATTCCCTTTCTTTTTTTGTTCAGCATATCAGGAGTTCAAGCTGAGTTAATTTATTAGAATTTGAATTTAAGTTGAAATAAAGTTTGTATAAATAATATTTTATTATAATATTAATATGGAAGGTGGAAGTTTGAGCACATATCAGAGTGTGTACTTTTTCACCTTTACTTGAGTAAAGAAGTACTTGTGTAATGTACTTGAGTAGTCCCGACCTGTCGTCCATCTGAAATACCACATCGAGCAACAATGTGAAAGCACTTTGCTTTTCAAAGGTTTGGCAGTTGTTAAATGTTTTTTGAACTAAACATGCTGCTGTCCTAAAAATGCAAAATGAGCATGTATTTATGAAAAAGCAATAAATAATCTCAGTTTTCACTTTCTATCAAGTGAAAGCTCCCTGGTTCGATCCCGGGAGTAGACACGCATCCCAGGTACATCTGCCAGTCAAACATAGTATGACTGTAATGGGCCCAAACATATTGTGTTACTGTGTGAGAACATCAGGAGTGGCAGAGAAGTGTGTGAGGCTGGTGCAAGACATGTTAGAGGGCAGTGAGACAGTGGTGGAGGAGGGTAGGAGTGACAGATGGGATGAAGGTGAGGGTGGGATAAGATCCGGGATTGGCTCTGAGCCCCTTCTTGTTTGGAGCGACGGGGACTGTTGGACACTAGGGTCTCTTCTAACTTTGCATCCAACGTTAGACAGGCAAGGCTGAGACCTTTCGGACATGTGCAGAGGACGGACAGTGGCCAAAGGATGCCGAAGATGGAGGTACCAGGCAGGAAGAAAAGAGGAAGACCTCAGAGGAGGTTCATGTGAAGGAGGACATGAAGAGGGTTGGTGTGACAGAGGAGGATGCTGGGATAGGGTGAGACGAAGGAAGGCAGATGATCCGCCTTTGGAGACACCTAAAGGAAGTAGTACTGGATACCTGTGCAGCAACCTCTCTTACCTCTGACAGCTGACAGGATTTCCTGGACGCACACTTTGCTGCCAGCTGCCGCCGCCTCGTGCAGGGGGGTCCAGCCTCGGTTGTCCCGACAGTCCACACTGCAGCCTCTCTGAATCAGCGTCCTCAGCCGCCTAGTGCAGCCTGAGCGAGCAGCAGCGGCCACACTGGACACCGTGTCTCGGTAGCACTCAGTGAAGTCCATGCCCAGGTTCACAGAGACATTCGTTACTTTAACTCCAACAAGGATTAACAGTCAAAACACAACCTCAGAGTTACTCTGGATGATTTTACACAACCCGACGTACACGTTTCTGTTGGGTCCGGAAAAGTTTTTAATTTAAATCAAGAAATAAACGTGTCTTTAGTTACCAAACAGACGTTAGGAACGGAACAACGGCATTCCGAGCGGCGCCTGTTGATGACGTCACACCACAACAATCCTACGATCCAGCGTCGCGTGTCAGCTGTAGCTTCAGCTAATCGTTTAGCCGTTAGTTGTTGCTAAAATTAGCAGATTTTCAGACATGTTTGGAGAAACGTGAAGAAGAAGAGCCTGGAAGCTTCTTCTCAGCCGGTTCAGGAGGCACTCTGAAGGTAAACGCGCTTTATTTCCCGTCACGGCGAGACGTTCACAGAGTTACTGCAGCTGTAGCAAAGAATCGGATGTGACAACATACAACCGATCAGTACTGTGTGTACTCCTGCACTACACGTCATTCAGAGTAACAGTTGTGCCTGTAATTTAAAACAAACTGTCAGAAATCAAACATATCACATATTCGTCATTCATCATCATATTCATTTAAATCTGAAATCTGGCCCACCTGACTAACTGTGGACCAGGGAGACCAGCGGTCCCGCTTTGTGTGGGACTGCACAGCATTTCTATTACTTAAAGTAGAAAAAGAATGATCATAAAAGCAAACTTTAGTTGAAATAAAAGTTTACAGAGAGTAAAAACAAAATGACGAGTCATATCTTAAGATTTGGGACAGAGTTGTTAAAGCTAGGTTAGGCAGCGACGTGATGATCGGTGAGCAGCAGTATGGTTTCATGCTGAGAAAGAACTCCAGAGATGTGATGTTTGAGAGTACTGATGGAGAAATATAGAGAAGGTCATAAGGAGCTTCACTCTTTATTTATGGATCAGCGAAAGCGGAAAATAGTGTGTCAAAAGAGGAACTTTGGCACTCTGGCAGAGAACAGTGGTGAGGTGTGCGGTAAGAGAGACAGGTGGGCTGAGGGTGGGATTACACCAGTGATCTGCTCTGAGCTCCTTTGCAGTAGTGATGGACAGGCTGACAGATGAGGTCAGACAGCAGTGTTTGTCGATTATGATGTTTGCAGACGACACTGTGATCCGCAGTTAGACGAGGGAGCTGGAAGAAGCGAGAAAGAATACATGCATGAATGAGAGCGAGACAGGTGGAAGAGGCTGAGTGAGTGGATGAGTTTAAATACCTAGGGTCAACCATACAAGCAACGGACAGTGCACAAGAAGAAGATGGAGACAAAAAGACAACACGAGCAAAACATGTTAAGATTTTCACTGGAAGTGACAAAGATGGACAAGATTAGAAATGAGTACATCAGAGGGACAGCTGAGGCTGAGCGGTCTGGAGACAGAGAGAGTGAGGCTGGGATGGTTTGGATGTGTGCAGAGGAAGGATCGTGGATATATTGGAGCTGCAGCTCCAGTATATCCACTATCTTTGCCAAAGACAAAAGCACATGACTCTTATTGTTTCTGTCTTACAGTGGCTTTATTCAGTCTTTAATCTTGTCTTGAATCTGTAACCCGTTCTCCTAATTGTTTCCAATTTTGTATCCTAGGTCGTTGGCTCAAAGGTCACAGCAAGCCGCAGCATTATGGTGGACATCTCTGTGAAAAGTGAAGCTGCTTGGGTCTGTCACACTCAGGGGCGTCACCTGGCTGACGTCGTTCTTCCTGTTCACATCAATAACACGGCCAAAGAAGAAGATGAAGTCAGTGAGTTGGACAGAGAAGAAACTCACTGGTAAGAAGCTTCTAGCTGATATTAAGAAGCAGTTAGTGCTATAATCAATAGGCAGTTGCAATTAATCTTTGTCTATTCGCACAGAAGGCAAAGATGAGAAGTGGATTTTCCTTTTATTTAAGTGAATGGTACATTTCCCACTTATCTGCCACACACAGTGGTGATCCAGTGCTGCTAGAGCAGATGGAGGAAGGGTCTCCTTGTGTCCTGAAGTTCCACTGCAACCCCAGCTTACCTGCCACCATCAGCCGCCTGCTCGTTATAAGTGAGGCTCGAACCATGGAGGTTTACAGCCAGACCGGAGAGTACTGTGGGACTGTACGGGGATCGAAGGACGACAGCATCCAGCTAGACAGGTACACAGGCTGCACAGGTCAGAAGAGCCAATGAGCAAAGGGTCTTCGGTCTTCTGATAAAGACGCTGCTGATTGTCTGATGTTAAGAAGTGATGCTTCTTCTTTTGTTTGTGAATCACAGTGCTGACAGAGGGCCTTTCTATAAGAAGCAGCTGATCATCGAGGAGCCATCCTCTGCCTGTGAAGTGAAGGTAAAACAGAACATTTTAATTTATGCAGTTTATTACACAGTCGTGTTTGTATGAGAATCTAACGAGCTGCTTCTCTCCCAGTTACTCTCCCTGGCAGGTAGGAGCAGTGTTATGGTGGCTAAAGTCATCGTGAGTCTTCAGCTGCTGCAGTCCTGCCCAGCCCCAAACCCGGGCATAGACATGCAGCGAGTGCAGTGTCTGATGGAGGAGATGGGAACAAGCCTGTCGCCAGGAGCTCAGAATCTCATGGAAATGGTGCAGTTCCAGCAGAAGGTAAATTAGCTCAGAGATGCTCTCTCTGACATTTATAATGTGGGTGTTTCCTGCTGATGAGAGTATGCCTTATGGATTTGAGTTTCTGTGTACCTCGTCAGGCCTCTGTCTCAGATCTTACTGTTACTGGAACTGGAACGGCTTCTCTGAGTGTCCAAAGCATAAGAACTAACCAGACATAAAGAATGAAACAGGGACTGAAGCATGTGTTGGTGTTTGTCTCTCCAGAATCAGACCGGCTCTCTGGCTGGTTTCCTGCCTCTCCTGATGGGCAGTGGAGCTTTCTCTGGTTTGGGGAGAGAAGTCAGCATGTGTCCAGGAGCTGGCAATATTCTGCCTCGACCTGCAGAATTTAAGGTACAAAACCCATTTGTGCTGTTCTTTGTTCTTAGATTAGACCATTTAAAAACTCGGCCCACACCAGTTTGGTGCAGAAGAAAAGAGTGAAGTGATTTTGTGAGTGTGAACAGAGCCTGAAGCAGAAAGCCTGGATTAACAAAGAAAGTTCAGAAAAACTAAACTGGCTGGAGTCTGAGGTTTGGTCTGGAGTGTCTGCCAGAACTTGAATCCATTAATGCTGCCTGTTTGATGAACTCAAAGAAAAACCTTGGACCACTTCATTGATTGTGATGATCGTGTTTTTCTATTATGTGAAATGTTTGAGTGATTCTAATTGTCCGAATATAATTGTACAGAAAGAAGAAAGCTGATTGACGTTTAGAGGTTTTTATGTTTTCTTGGAACCTTTAGATGCCACAGCTATAAATTCTAATGTGATTTAAAGGTAGATAAAAAAAGAAGCCACTGTGATCAGAGGCTCTTTAGCTAAGCTCAGCTAGTCCGACTAGTTTTGTGCTACAGTATTATTTCAGATTTGTCTTGTTTACATGTATGATAAGAGAGACATCTGAAAGTCAGATTCTGGCTTTAGCTTGTTTTGTCCACATGTGCAGTGAGTGTATTTCAGCTTAAAGCAGTGAAGGAATCAGGTAATCTTCCACCAGCTGCTCAGATTCACAACTAAAGTTAAGTAAAGTCAGATATCCTTTTAGAGACTATGCACACAAATCCACCTGCATCTCTGTATGCTTCTGTCAGCTTGACGCAGATATAATGTGTGTTCAGAAGATGTTTAAACACTCTGTAAGTCAGATGTTTTTCAATGTCGCTAGCCTCCAGACAGCTTCCTGAGGCCTGCAGATGAAGATTCACAGACCCAGAACGGAGTGATGTCGGAGGGCTCCACCCCCTCCTCCGTAGACCTGCCAATGTCCAGTGTCAGCACTGATAACACTAGTAAGGATGATCATGTCTGTTATGGTCACATACATGAACATGGTAGTCACTAAGGAGTGGATTTGGGCTTCTACTTGTAGAAAAACTTATTTGTGGTAGATTCTCTAACACCTCGATAAAACCTTTTATCCGTCTCCAGCGAGTCCCAGTGAGAACGGCGGCCCGATGAGCTACACTCAGCTGACAGAGATGCTGTCGCACTTCCTGAAGGAACAAGGGGTCAACCAGGGGTTCGGCTCCGGTCCCGAGCTTCTGCCCATGCTCCAGAACGTCTGCGGTCAGGTGACCCAGCTGAGACTGGATGATGCTGCAGCAAAGAAGGAGAAGATGATGAGAAACGGCACGTGGTGAGTCGAGTGTAGCGAGCACTTTTCCTACAGCAGCTCCATGTTGGAATCAGATGATTTGGCTCCACCTTGTGTTAGAAAAGAATCATTACAGGAATCCTGCAGCCGCTTTTTGCATAATACTAAAGACTTTGGTTCTTAGTGGCTCAAGGATTTCTGCTTTTAACTGGAGCTGTGTCTTAAAATTGGACGAGTCCAATGCACGTTCCTTGGTAGGTGTTCAGTTTTCAGTTTTTGTGTGTACATGCTGCAGAAGTCTTCACAGACAGAATATTAGGGACACTCTTTTTTTTTAATGCAGAAATGCATCATAATTGTACTTTTTCCCACATTAAACCAGCTGTTTCAACACTTCAACCATACATTCATTTATACAGCACTTTATCTTACGCACTTCTGTCTACCTCACCCAGCTCATTTAGAATAAACACCTAACCTAACATGTGTGTTTCTGGACAGCTTTATCAGCTGTGGCCTTTCACATGCACAGATCTGTCAGTCGTTCCCGTTTCTGCTGTTGTGTTTGGGACCTTTTCTTCTGATTTAATTGTTTTCTTCCCAGAAGCTCCTCCTGCATCTGGCGTCATTAAACATACTCACACTTGTGTTTGCTCACCACATGCCTGTCACATTTTCCTTAGACTGTGGAGCCACTTGGTGAAATTTTCTTCTTGTTAATGATGTCAGTGCAGCATTTGA